CGTCTGGCTCAGACACCGGAACCAAGCGCCCCCGCTCCATCTCCACCGTGAGGAGGGAACGCCGCAGTTCTGCAGCTGTCGCCACCTTAAAAGATTGGAGATGGCCGAGGCATCTAGTTTGAGCAGACGTTGAAGTCGCTCCTCGCTGTTTTCTAAATAATGCTTAGTTGTCAGAAGGGAGCGTGGCACGGCTCTCTGCTGGGCCGTTTTCAAGTTTGTAATCTCCCTGACCTTTTTCGCCTCTTCTCAAAACACCTGTACTGACCGGCGTTTACCTTCAACGGACTAAATGTTTCGTTTGACTCCCGTCGTGGGTCAGGTACTGTTCTCGGCCCGCAGGTTTCCTCAGGGAGTAAAACACAAAGATCCATGCCCTCGTGGACCTTACATTTTATGCAGAGAATAAATATAAGACCGTTATGTAACTTGGCATATGGTGCCAACAAGAAATTTGAGCGAGCTAAAAGGTACGGATTAGTTCACTAGTGGATGTGGGAGTCCGCAGTGTTTAGGCGTTGTTGGGTGGGAGCTATTTGGGCAAAGATGAGTTTTGTGTGTTAGTCAAGTTCCGATCTGCGCAAGAACATTTCAGGCAGAAAGAACAGCCATCAGAAAGGCAGAGACGTGCCTGTCATGCTCGGGAAGTTGGGGTGTGCAAGGGGGAGACAGATAGTAGGTAAGACCAGACATGAAAGGTAGCCACATTGTCAGTGCTGATGAAAGCTGTGGGAGAAAAGGAATTTTTCTAGCCCATGTTTTCAAAAGATAACTCCAATGTAAACTATAAAGAGCTTGGGGAACAAATTTAGCATAAAGGAAATGGGGACACCATTTGCACCATCCAAGTGACTTGTAACAGTGGCTCAGAACAAGGAAGTAATAATAGGCATGTGGAGAAATGATTGGATACTGCATCCATTTTGAAGGTTGTGTTTACAAGATTTGCTAGGAATTGGACATCTTTGTGGTTTACAACTTCAAAGGTCTTCTTGTCTAAGCCCATAGAGGTCACTTCATCTGAGATGCAAAGGACAAGCAGAAATTTTGAATAGGAAGTTAGTTCCAGAATTGAGAATTGCTTAGAGGATATGTGTATTTGGGACTCACCAACTGATGTTTAAAGCCATAAGAATGAAAGTTAAACTTCATAAATGTATGTAGAAAGAAAATAGTAAACAGAGACTGTCTTGTGATTGTAAGGAATAGGGAAGGGCCAGACATGGTGGTGCACACCCTTAATTCCAGCACCCAGGAGGCAGACACAGGCAGATCTCTCTGAGTTTCAGACCAGCCAGGGCTACAAGGAGAAGAGGGTCAGTCGTCGGGATGAACCAGGGAATCTAAGAAGACAACCCCAAAAGTGAAGTACCAAGCAGAGATCCTGTAACTGGAAGAAGTCAGCTGTGTCAGATGCGCTAGTCTGCGCTAGTCTTAGCAGTGCCATTGATGACCTGCAGCATCAGTTTCATTACAGTTAGAGCCAAAAGCTTGGTATGACTAGGGAAAGGGGGAGAATGGGAAACAGGGAGTCAAATAACTCTTAGAATAGAATATAGGTGGCGGGAGGAGTGAATTTGAGTGGTGGTGGTGGTGCTCTACCCACGGTGAGAGAAGTAGCTAGCTGCCAGTTTGGGTGTTTTGTTTGTTGTTTTTGTTTTTGCCAATAGAAATGATGGAAGAAAGGGAAAATTTGGTGATGAAAGAAAAAAAAGAATGACTGGATTGTTAGACAAAATCCTCAGATATGCTAGAGAACGAGGGCCTGATTCAGAGGTGGAAAAATTGCATGTACATAAAAGCACAGTGACTATAATGACAGAAAGGTAGGATCCATGGGTATAGGCAGTGGTAAGTAGGTGAGTACATGAATGTGGTTGGGAGATTCTAGTTTCCATTAATTTCATTTCATTAGTAAAGTAGAAATGTACCCCCATGTAAATGTATTTCTAATTTTTTTATTAACACTTAGACATGCCACCAGGTTTTTTTACTCAACAAATTTTTTTTAATGCATACTACGTACATTATTCTGAATGGTGAATACATAACCGAACTAGATTTCCCTGCCGTCATGTATCTTCTAGTCTGGTAGACGAAGACGGAATACCATGTATGTGTCAGCCTTAGTTATTGGTAGGAGTGAAGCTGTGTGTGTGTGTGTGTGTGAGAGAGAGAGAGAGAGAGAGAGAGAGAGAGAGAGAGAGCGCATGCACGTGGGTGCTCATGGAGGCCAGAATAGGACATGGGGTTCCCTGGAGCTTAAGTTACAACTGGTTGTGATCTACCCAATATGGGTACCTCAGAACTGAACCCAGGTCCTCTGCAATTGCTCTTAACTGCAGGAGAAATGTCTCAGCTATTTGATAATTTTTTTTTCAGTGTAAAATAAAGTTTTACTTGTGGGTACAAAGAGAGAAGAGAGGACAAGAGATAAAAGTTTCTGAGTAATCAACATATAGATGGAGTTTAAAACCATAAGCTTAGATGGAAAAAATAAGGGGAAAGCCAGGGAAGAGAAGACTTAAGAAGCCTTAGGGTCATTCAGGAGATGGAAGTCAGGGAGCTGAGGAAGAATTGCCAAAGAAAACAGGATATACAGTAAGTAGTTCCATGAGCTGGGAGGAAAGAACTAAGAATGGTACCCCCAAAGCTGAAGGCATGTCATCAAGATCACAGAATGATCTATTGAATCAAATGATGGCCAGCTGTAATGTGAAAATGGCCAGTCATTATTTTTGCCAAGTCTTATCTGGTGATTGTTTGAATATGTCTCCTCCTATCATCTCTGGACTCTAAGTAAACATGTTAAATCTGTATTCCTGTATCCATTTTCAGGTCCCATAAGTAGGATTTTCTGCCTTTCTTGCCTTGTTGTTTCAAGGGCTTTTTGTTGCCTCCAGTTCTCTTGTGGAGCAAACTCATCCTGTCCTCTGCTTCTGCTTCACCTACTGCTACTGTGTACTCACACTTAAAGATTTCCACAGACCTTACACTTTCACACTTCTGTGGCTTTTCTTACCCTCCTGCCTGTCATCCTAGAATGGCTTTCTTCCTTTGCTTGAAGAATGGGAAACTTAAAGCCAGCTCGGTCCACAAGCAACCTATATGATACAATGTCTTACTCCTTTACACCAAATTTAACCTTTTTAGGTGTCTATTTTCCTTTATAGAGTCAGAGATTTTTAGGACTGGTTCACCTTCATTCATCTTCCTGTCTCTGTTTCCTGTCATAGTGTCATCCTCTTGGCAGGAACTCTAATGGAATTTTAAGAGAACAGAAAAATAAAGGGCCCAAATGCAAATATGTCACTATGTGACAGCAGGTAGAATGGATGCTATGTGGGAAATTCTAAACTAAAGGAAATCTGTGGGAAAAATAAAGATGAACATTTTGATGAGTATGTCAACATACTGAATTAAAATGATAAATACCATACTTGTGTTAAAATCAGAAAAATCAACTTTGAACAATTCTTTGAAATTATAAAATAATTAATATAGTAATTTGTAATTGAGTTCTAATAGTTCCATGTTAGAATACATGAAATAGTAGACTATTATATATAATTTACATTGTTACAGGTTGGCCTTTTATATTAAATTTGTAGGACATCAATGCAAGCCTGAAGAAAAAGTAATTGCTCCATTTTAAGCCATGGCATATCAGTTATACAGAAATACGACTTTGGGAAACAGTCTTCAAGAAAGCCTTGATGAGCTCATACAGGTGGGGACCAAACATTAAACATGCTCTATAAGTCTTCAAATTTCTTTGTTAAAAGTATTTTAAAATTAACATTTTTTCCCTTATTTTTAGTGATGAACTATAGAAATGATCCCTTAAAGTATAGTCTTCTCATCTCAAATTTAGAAGAAAGGGATATTCGATCATTTTAAAAGTAATTCTGTCCAGTGTTTTTGAGGTTTGAGTTAGAACTTTAAATTTCTATTTAAGTTTTAGAAGAATTAATCTTACTCATCACACAACTAAGAAAGTATTAAATATTTATATTTATGTTCTGTTGGGGTGTGGAGGGAGGTGTGGGAGCGAGGTTGTTTTTTGGTTTTTTTGAGACAGGGTCCAGGCTGTCACTGAATGTGCTCTGTAGTTAGTGTGGTCTATAGCCCCTGGTCTTCCTGCCCACCTGTTGGAATTGCAGTTGTGCAGCGCCATGCCTGGCTCCATCTGCTTTGGCATTATTATATAGACTTTGGTAAGATTTGCGTGTGTGTGTGTGTGTGTGTGTGTGTGTGTGTGTGTGTGTGTGTGTGCGTATGTCTCATGTCTTTTATTAAGAAAAAGCTTCGTTTCCATTTGTTGAACACTTAGTCCAACCACTGAAGGAATAGCAAGAGTTTTTCCTGGCTTTGCAAACATACTGCAAGTTTTTTTTATTTGTCAAGATAGTGTAGAAGTTATTTTCAGGCCTTGTTTCATTGTCACTTAGAGCACAGAGGAATAGGGACTTCTACTTCAGAAGTTTAGATTACAATTAATATACTTTATCTATTTTGTCTTTAATGTTCTTCCCTTAGTGAATTTATGATCTTCGTTTTTTCTCAGTCCCAACAGATCACCCCCCAGCTTGCCCTTCAAGTTCTACTTCAGTTTGATAAAGCAATAAATTCAGCATTGGCTCAGAGAGTCAGGAACAGAGTCAATTTCAGGGTAAGGATATTTTCCTGTGTATGGAAGTCTGCACCAGTTACTCAGAGAGCCTACATGGACTTACTCAGCATAACAGGAGGGTTTGGTTAGTCTGATTTGGGAACTTGTGTAATAATTGAATGGTAGTTCATCCATTCCATGTGATGAATAGCTTTTAGATTTTTAATTTCATTGCTTCATAAATCATCCTGTATATGTTTGGCTTTTTCATCCCTGGAGAATTACTGAGGTTTTCAAAGGCCTGAAAGTATAAGCTGTAAGACAGAAGGTAAGTGACAGAGTAGTCCTTAAGTTCAGTTATGTTTTTCAAACTCTGACCTTCCAGGAAAGGTTGGTTATCTGTAGAATCTTCATGTTGCCTCCCATCTACTCTTAGATAGCTTGACTTATAAAGTCTGTTCTGGTAGCTAGATGTCTTCTGAATCATCCCTGCTTTGAACAAAATACCGCTCTCAATTTTGTGGTAATTTGAGGTTAAGAGCTCATTGCAAAATGTGGCAAAACAGTTTACCATGTGGAGACATGTTGTGGATAATGGTGTTTGCTGTTGCCCTGTTATATTTCTCTAATATCTTCATCTGTACACTATAGAAATAAATTTAAAACATATGAAGGCTAATATAGGGAAAGAATTTATGAGTTGCATTTTTTTAAACCTCGGTGTTGAGGCAACATGAGTGTTTTGTTGATAAAATAACAAAAGATTGTAGTATTTATTTTAAGCATTTAAGTGCCTATTAGGTAATAGACATTGTTCTAGGTATCAGAAATATAAGGGTGAACAAAATAGATGAGGTCCCCATTTGACTTACATTTTGCTGAAGAGATAAAATATGTGTTTATGTTACATATAAATGTCTACCCATTTTACATGCTTAAAAATTACAGATATAGGGGACTGGGGAGATGGCTCAGAGGTTAAGAGCACTGACTATTCTTCCAGAGGTCCTGAGTTCAAATCCCAGCAACCACATGGTGGCTCACAACCATCCGTTATGAAATCTGGTGCCCTCTTCTGGTGTGCAGATATACATGGAAGCAGAATGTTGTATACATAATAAATAAATAAAATCTTTTAAAAACATTACAGATATAAATAGTCAAATAGTCAGGCATGATGGCACATATCTTTAATCCTAGCACTGAGGAAAGGCAGAGATCTGCCTGCCTCTGCCTCTGCAGCCAGCCTGATCTATCTACAAACCAACTTCCCGGACAATCAGGGCTTCACAGAGAAACCATATTTAAATAAATAAATAAATAAATAAATAGAATTCTCTAAGAGTATTAAATCTGGCAAGTAGGGGTTCTGACAAAGTTGTTCTTTGTAGGAATCTGCTTGAAATTTTAACTTTTGTTTTAAATTGATCTATGTTAAACTGTGTAAATTTTGGCCATTTAGAAAATTGAACTACTTATCAGAGGCAGTAAGGTTCACAAGACCTTGGTAGTCTTCTAATTGCTCTGTTAGAAGTGTCTAGTGTGGGTTTCTTTTGCAAAAATTAATTGGATATTTGTATTTCTTATATATAATGTTTTGTAAGTCTGTCAGTTTTCTAAGAGTTGGCCCTGACGAGGTCTTAATTTTCCAGTTTACTTTTTCTTTTCCCATTGCTACTGCCGCAGCCCAGGATTCCATACCCTGCCCTGAATTACAGCAAACCATACATGCAAAGAGCATTCTGTTTAGCTTGGTGTACCATATAGTCAAGAGACAACATATTGCTACTACTTAATTTTCTAAGTCAAATTGCTTGATCGAATATCAATATTCATTTTTATGTACAGTAATTTTTGCTGATCTACCAATAAGATTAGGTCTATCCATTTAAGGAATTTAAGGACTTTACGTAATATATGAGTTAATTTTTAGTTTCAAATCCTTAATGTGAATTCTGTGTGATACTACTCAGTAAGATATTATAAGAAAAACATCCTTGAGTATGAAAACTAAAGCTTTAATTGTTTATTTGTTGAAATTTATTAGTAAAAAGTAAAAAATGGGGCAAGTAACTTAGGGAGGACTTTTAGAAAGTAAATTCACATGGATTTAATACATATAACTAGGCTTTTAAAGCGCCACTGTGTGCACTTAAGAGGATAGAAGAAGAAAAAAAGATGGAAGAAATGGCTACCTAAACATGATAGTACTCAGCTTCAAATGGTAATAAGTAAGCGTTAAAATATTTAAGTGGTCAAAAAGTATTCCTTCTTGTGACAGATTCTTCTCTTTTTTTCCCCATGGTTTTGTTGTTTGTTTGTTGTCTACAAATGAGTACTGTGTAACCTTTAAGTTGCTATTTTAAAGAAACACAGATATCACCTATTGTTGATATGTATTAAAAGACTCTATTTTTTTAAAGAGAGAATTGATAAAAATCAATATTGAGCCAAATGAACTCTTTGAAAGAAAAATGAATCTAAAATTGTTTAAAGTGCCATTATTCTTCCAGCTCTTATAGATAAGGTACTAGATTCTTATCTAGTAGAAATACACAAAAAAGCAAGATACCTAAGTAACTAAAAATTATATACACAAAGGTTCACTGTCCTTTGCAGTGAATTCTTTTAATAAAAACATTTTTTGGTTTGGGTTTTTATCTAGGAGCAGGAACATATCCTTGTACATAAAAGGAAGCATAAGTGTGAAAAAAAGTATTAAACAATGTGAAATTCAGCACAAGATATTTAAACAGCAAATCTTAAAATGATTCCTACAGTATCATCCATGTTGGTGAAAAATTTTTGAATCTGAATATAAGCAGAATTTTAAAAACTGATGACTGTGAATGGATTTAATGCATATAGTAGACATGAATAATTACTGTGGTCTAGATTCTGCTGGACTCTGAAAATACAACAGAAAGCACTGGTCTCTGCTACCAGCATAGTTTACCAAGCAGACCATTAAAATAAATATGTTAACAGTGTTAGGATATGTTACTTGGTTCAGTGGAGTACAGCAGGTATGGAGGACAAAGGGCTACACTCACAATTTAACGCTTGAGTCCTGAAGAATGATTCATAGTCAGCTAAAGGAGTGGTGGTACTGTAGAAAGATAACATTTGGAATATGGTAGGAAATTCCAGAAGACAATTCTTCAGGAGATACTGATGTGAAGGAAACCTCAAAGAAACAATGGGACCCCCAGCAAGTCCACACCTGTAGTAATATACTAACCCTAATAAGGAAGTCAGTGAAGGACTGTTCATCACAGGAGCCACACAATTTTATTTGCTTTGCTGGTGTTCACATGAAGAATGGATTACAGTGGAATAAGACTAGAGGCAGAAGACCATGCCTCTTAGCCAGCTGAATCAGAAGGGTCAAAGTAGACAGTTCTAACAAGGGATGGCAAGAAACGGAGGGCTTTTAAAGGGCACATCTGACAGGACTTGACAGCTGTGGATATGGTGGAATTGAGAGACAAACTGGTAATTTTCAAGTTTCTGGATTAAGTGACAGCAGAGTCATAGGAAAAGCTGATTTGGAAGTAGTCTTAATAGATATCAGTGATGTGTCTGAACCAGTTATGGGATTTAAATTGTCTTAATGTTTCTAAGGAATTTGCTTTTGTACAAATTTAGGAAATGAACAACCAGTGGAATATAGAGCTTTAAATATGTAAAACATTCAAATGGAGCCAGTGCATGTATTTAATCCCAGCATTCAGGAAGCAGATCTCATTGAGTTGGAAGCCAATCTCAACTAAATATTGAGTTCCAGGACGTCAGGACTACATAGTAAAACCCTGTCTCAAAAAAAAAAAGGAAAAAAGAAAAGTCAAATGTGAGGGCTGGGGAGGGTTTAGTGACTAAAACACTACTGCTCTTGGAGAAAACGTGAGTTTGGTTCTCAGCACCCATATCAGGTGGCTCACAACTACCTATGCCTCCAATTCAGGGGATCAGACTCCTGGCCTTCACAGTCATCTACATGCATATAGTATGCATAAGCTCAGGCAAGCATGTACCAGATATATACATGCATGCATATATAAAAATAAATATTTTTAATATAATGGACAGGATGTAGTGGTACACACCTTTAATCCCAGCACTTCGGAGGCAGAGACAGACAGTTCCAGGACAGCCTGGGCTACCTAGTGAGTTCCAAGACAGCCAGTGCTATGTAGAGATCCCTTTCTCAAAAGACAGAGGTCAGATGGACTTTCATAATTTATCCACAAGAGTGCAGTAGACATACAAATTTAAGTTTTCATACAGCTTTTCATTTCAGGTAAGTAATTTGCAGATTGTTTTAGAGTGCTAAAAATAGTCGGTTAGCAAAAAATGTTTTTTTAACTCTTACCTGAGCTGACTTGCTCAGGTTTTCTCTTATTTCTAAGTAGATAAAATTAAGAAGTTAAGTAAACTAAGCTAAGCATTAAGCATACTGTTTTAATAGCTATATACTTGGTAGCTAAGTTCTCTTGGGTTTCTTTGGAATAAAGCATGAGGGGAAACAATGGCTTCTCATGGCATTTCTCAATGTTTTGTTTTAAAGGGCTCTCTAAATACATACAGATTCTGCGATAATGTTTGGACTTTTGTATTGAATGATGTTGAATTCAGAGAGGTGACAGAACTTATTAAAGTGGATAAAGTGAAAATTGTAGCCTGTGATGGTAAAAGTAAGTGCTCGCCTAATTACTGTGAAAGCAAACTTGTTGAAATATTTTTTTTCTCCTCTTTAGTTATCTTGATCTATCTGAAAGCCTCAGGGGAAATTGGCCAGGTGATCAGATAAAAATCTAGCTTCTGTATTCTACATGTGTCTTCTTACTGACCTTACATCTGTATGCTTAGATGACACATAGACGCTTAACACAGATTCAATTCATGTGTAAAGAAAGTAAGCTAATTGCTAAATTTCCTTCCATTGAGTTGCTTATTAGAAGCAGTCATCAGACTTGTCACTGCTTCTTTAAGAAAGTAAAGTGTAAGCCGGGTGTTGGTGGCGCATGCCTTTAATCCCAGCACTTGGGAGGCAGAGGCAGGTGGATCTCTGTGAGTGCAAGGCCACCCTGGTCTCCAGAGCGAGTGCCAGGATAGGCTCCAAAGCTACACAGAGAAACCTTGTCTCAAAAAACAAAAAAAAAAGAAAGTAATGTGTAACCGAGCATTTATCTTAAAACTTCTTTGTTGCTGGATACCCTGCACTTTATGTATAAGAAGCTATTTAAACTAATCGTGAACCTTGCAGTTATAATGGGAGATACCCAGTCCTCTGATTTGTTACATTTGTGCAAGGGAATATTCCACAGCCAACCTAGAGGTTCTTTAGGTCGTTAAACATGTTTAAAGTGGCACATCTCTGCTCCATGACTGGTTATTTCCTTTTGTTTAGTTTTAAACATAACCCAAAGCCTTGTACTTGCTGGATTTGCACTAATACTCAGTCATGCCCTAGCCCTATGTTTTATTGTATATTTACTTTAATTGGTAATCTGAACAGCTTGTGTTTAAAGTACCAGTCCCTGGAGTATAAAGATCACCACTCCAAGAAGGGGGGAGGGGACTCTAAGAAGCAAGAAAGAGAGAAATATAGGAAGTAATACCTCCATTTCTTATGTTACATATCAAGTTTGTTTTGTTTCTGGTTTGTTTTTTGTTGTTTTTTTGTTTTGTTTTGTTTTTTGAGACGGTCTCTGTAGCATTGACCAGCCTTGAACTCATTATGTAAACCAGACTGTCCTCAGACTCAGATTTCACCTACCTTTGCTTCCTAAATGCTGGGATTAAAGGCATGTGTACCATGCTGGCTACAGTTTGGATCTTTTAAAGAATATCTAATCACTGAAGAAATGTAGAAAATACAGAAAAGCTCCATATATAAACCACCTGTACAGATAACTGCTCATCTTTGGAAAGTAAAGACTTCTACATATTAGGGATGTATTTTTTATAGTAACACATCTGTGCACAGAGACATGTTTACACATATATAATTTTTCATATAGATTAGTCTTTTTAATCTGATTTCTGATGGCTACAGCCCTTTATATTTATTTATTTTGATTTTTCAAGACAGGTTTTCTCTGTGTAGCCATGTCTGTTTTGGAACTCATCATGTAGACCAACCGGGCCAAACTCAGAGATCCACCTATCTCTGCCTCCAGAGTGGTAGGATTAAAGGCTAAAAAGTCTTCCAGATGTCAAAAAATCTAGGAAATTAGCACCATTACATTGACTTACTCATCAGAGCTAACTAGGAATCCTCAGCAGTAGTCCTAGAGACTTCTTAGTGTGACCAGCAGATACTTAAGATCTTTTTTCTTTTTTTTTTCCTTTTTTCTTGAGTTACTTTTTGTTTTCCATTTCTACAAAGGTAGTACTTTATGCTGTACCACAAGATAAATTTCTGTACTTTTCATGGGTTTTTCCCTCTTGTAATTTAAGCTAATAACATCCTTATAGCTCCTAGGTTTTTAAGTGTTTATTGGATCATAGAGTTTGTGCATTATTTTATAGTTACTAAATATTTACAAATTAATTGATATAAATGGGCCAGGTAGTACAGACCTGTAATCTTCCTTACTTGGGAAGCTGAAACAGATAACAACTTCAAGGCCTGCCTAAGCAACTTAAACCCTGTCTGGTAGAGTAAAAAGGGGGCTAGAAATACAGCACATTGATAGAGGGCTCCATTTGTATGAGACCTTAGGGTTAGTCCTTTGCCCTGAGGCAGGGAGCAGGTGAAGAACACCAGTTAGTTCTGTTAAGAATTTGTGTAATGATGAAAATGTTCTAGCTACCATCCGTAGTAGTTGTGCGTGGCCCTTGAGCACTTAAAATGTGACGAGAGCAACTAAAAACCAATGCAGTATAGATATGACCAGAAGAGGGTTGATTTCAGTCATTTGAACCAAAAAAGCAAAGCCTCTGAGCAACCCTAATACAGAGAGCTGTGGGGTGGGTGTGTTACTTACAGGAGCTTCTGCCAGGTGGTCCTTGGTGCTGTTCTTTTTGAGAGATACGAGATTGTTTTTCCAACCTCAGATAATAAAAAGAAGCCAGTTATCCATGTCTTTAGTTAGGTGGTCACTGAAGAGCTGCCCTCATTTAAAGCAAACTGTAGTAATGGATCTTTAGCAAAGATTTGAATATGTAAGAAATGGGAGGCAGAGGCAGGTGGATCTCCAAATTCAAGGCCAGCCTGGTCTACAAAGCAAGTTCCAGGACAGCCAGGGTATTATACAGAGAAACCCTGTCTTGAAAAAAAAAAAAAATGGTTGTGGTAGATTCCTTTTTTTTTTTTTTCTTTTTGTAGCCACAGGAAAAGATGAAATCTTAGACATGGTTAAAATATAGTTTGGCATTTAAAAATTAAATTCACTTAATTAGGAAAATTCCATTCTTCAGTGATTTTGCATAAATCAGGTGCTGCTGTAAAATTTCATTCTTCTAAAATTAGCATCCTAAAATTAAGCTGTGTTCTCAATAGAGTAGCAGAGGAAAGGGCAGCGATAGCCAGAGACAGAAGATTGCTGTATTTCCCAGCAGGATGTGGCTTGGAAGAGCTGTTTACACTAGTCCGCAACAGTCACCTGCAGTTTACATTAACTATATCTTACCTCTGCCTTGGGAAGGAAGCTGTTGACCTTGGCAGTGTCTCTCCAGAGTACCCCTCTCTACCTGCTTCCTCCTCCTCCTGCTACACACCACTTCAGTCCTTTTCCTAGATGTTCCTAAAATACTGATATTTTAGAACTTGCTCCTTGAATTGCTCTCTTTCCTGTTTCTAGATACTGGCTCCAATACTACGGAATGAGTAGAGAAATTCGGCTTTTTTATGCCACCTTCTGTTATTTTCATCGCTTTTTGAAGAAAAACATAGAAGAGACTTTTTTTAATTTATTCTCACGGTGCAGAAATGACAACACTGTGCTATACTGTAACCCAAGGGTTTCACAGAGAGAAGCATGTGACTCTGTTCTCTTACATGACCTTTAGTACACAGCATAAAGAAATGTAACTTTTTTTTTTAATGACAAATCAAAAGTGGTTGCCTTCATACGAATATTCTTCAATAAACTTGTTTTAAAACTTGTTGTGAGTAATAATTGATGTAGCTGGTTAGCAAGAAGTTGTCAAAATACCCAGGTAAACTTAGAAGGGTGTCCTTTGATAAAATCATGTTCACCTTGTCAGTTGTAATTTTATCTGTTGAAAATACCAGGGGAGACCCAAATGTGGATGGAATGTTACTAAGAAAATCTGACACACTCGCCTCCCCCCCTTTTTTCCCAAAGGACAAATTCAAAGATAATTATCAATGTGAGTGACCTGAGCTAAGGGGAGTGAGGTGAACTTCAGACAGTTGGTGTAGCAGAACTAAGGCCCTACTCCAAACAGCATTCCTGTGTGATGTGTCAGTTATTTTGACCTGGTCCTTAGTAGTGTTCATACTTTTTTAAATGATCTGTATCTTACCAATTACTAGAATTCTAGTTTTTATCCAAAATCCTGGGGCTGGAAAGATGGTTTAGTGGTTAAGAGCATTTGTGCTTACAGGGGACCTGGGTTTCCTCCCAGCACCCACATGGTAGCTCACAAGTGCCTGTAACTCCAGTTTCAGGGTTCCAACACTCTCTTTTGACTCTAGGCATATATGTGGTGAACATACATACATGGAGGCAAAATACAAGATGAATCTTTAAAATCCTACTACAAGCATAACACATCTGTTTCTACATCTCTGGCACCAGGTTTCTCCCTTGCCCTGAAATGCACCCACCCCTCAGCAAGGCATCTCTTTTGTTACTTACACCCTCCATTCTGCCTTCAACTCACTGTACTCAGCCCTCCCAACCTGCTCCCTGTATCATGATAAATAAAAGACCCAGAGACTGATGTTGGGGTTCAAGCTGAAGATCAGAAAAGCAAAGCAACCGGCCACTAGCTCTTATGTCTACCTCAGCTCAGACCAAAGGGGTGATCCTCAAATTCACTCAGACTGCTATGTTCTCCTCCATGTATACCTAGAGACTTCAATGTCTTCCTATCCTCAATGTGGCTAGAGAATGAACACTAGCTCTGAGACCCTGTTCCTGTCGTAAGTACCTCTTATGAGTCCTAGAATTAAAGGCTTGTGCTTAGCTTCTATCAAGCTTGTGGCTTGACGTTGCTTTCTGAATCCTCAGGCAAGCTTTAATAGATCATAAATAATGTATCACCACAACTCCCTTCAGTTCCCATCCCTCCATCCTCTCCACCCCTACTCCCAGTTTACACTTTTCCACTTCCCAGGGAAATCCATGCATCCCTCTTTGGGCCCTCCTTGTTTTCTAACCTCTCCGAGGCTGTGGAATGTAGGTTGGTTATCCTATACTCCTAATAACCACCTATATATAAGTGAGTACACACCATGTTTGTCTTTCTGTGTCTGGGTTACCTCACTCAGTATGATTTTTTTCCCTAGTTCCATCCATTTGCCTGCAACCTTTTGATTTTTCTTGACAGAGTTTCTCTGTGTAGCCTTGGCTGTCCTGAGACTCAGAGATCCACCTGCCTCTGGATGCTGGGATTAAAGACATGTATCGTCACTGCCCCAAGACTTGGCCCTTTCTTATCACCCAGTAGAAGTGAACATCTGGCATCCCCATGTTGTGGCCATTTCATCTGCATTTCAACACTTGAGCTAACACATCAGGATGATAACTAGGATCAGTAGAGCTGGGGAAGACAGCCCAAAGCCCCGTCCTGTTTATACAACCTGACAAGCTGATGTAAAACCTTGGCCCTAACTTTCATCAGGCATGAGTTTTGTTTTGTTATTTTGAAATAATATTGTTTTGACTGGGACAATAGCCAAGACTGACAGCTTGTCCAGAGATCAGACATGGGACCTTCAGCAGGCTCAGAAAGCAGACAAGTCACCAAGAGAGCTGCAACTGTGTCTCTGGTTGCTACATTCCTAACACAATGTCTTGTTAAGCATTTTTAAGGCCACAGATAGGTGGTTCCGGCTTTACCAAAACTAAAGTGGTACAAGGGAATCAGTCACATCCTAAAAAGACTTCAGCTCCATTGTAATTTACATTGTGTGTTTTCTAAAGACTTTGTTATTACTGTGTGTATAATTGGGAGGTCAAGAGCAGATGTGTATCGTAGCATGCGTGTGGAAGTCAGAGAACAAACGTAGGATGCCAGTTCTCTCCTTCAGTCTTCATGTGGGTTCTGGAAATTGAATTTGTGTGGTTAGGCTTTTGTGTCTGAGCCATCTTGCCTGCCCCCTATGTCATGGTAATGACACATCCCCTTTGTGGGTTTTTCTAGAGGATCATGGGAAAATATACCCTAAAAGGGAGCTATGACCTACCATAATTTGCCTCTCACTTCAAGTGTTTCATACAACTTTAAAATCCACAATGCAGAGCCTGTTATTCCCCTTTGGGATAGCCCACCCCAACTTCTGGAGTGCTTGTTTTACTCAATAAACTTCAGCTTAGCCAGCAGTGGTGGCACATGCCTTTAATTCCAGCACTTAGGAGGTAGAGGCAGGCGGATCTCTGAAGCCAGCCTAGTCTGTAAAGCAAGTTCTAGGACAGCCAAAGCTACACAGAAAAATCCTGTCATCCTGTCTCCTGGCCGGGTGTGTGTGTGTGTGTGTGTGTGTGTGTGTGTGTGTGTGTGTGTGTGTGTGTAACTTCAATTTAAACTTGTGCAACAAACTGGGGAGATGGCTCAGTAAGTAAATCGATTCTGCTCAGACATGAAGACTGAGAGTTCAAATCCTCAGAACCCACACAAAAGCTGCTGAGTGTGCACCTGTAGTCCCAGACCTGGGTAGGCAGAGACAGGATTCCCAGGACTTGCACAGCCAGTCCAGCTAGAGTGGCAAGCCCCAGGTTCAGTAAGACACTGTCTTAATGAAGGATTGAGGAAGACATCTTTATGTCAGCCTTTGGCCTCCATGTGGACTCAGCCCGCATTGCATTGCACACAAAGAAAAGAAAAAATTTAGTCTCAATAGAATTCTTTCATTTGAGAAGAACCGAGAGGATGCCTCCATAGCAGAGGGTCATTATTTTCCCCACTGCTAAGAGATATTGGCAAAAATGTTCAGCAAAATAGCTTTTTATGACTGTATTAAAATACCCTTCCCTAACGACCTATGTTCCATCCACAACACCCACGTTTGGAAAAAATAACAAGGCTCTCCCTGGGACCTGAGATTTACCGTGTAGTGTAGACTGGATGGCCAGCAAGTTCTGAGGATCCTCCTATCTCTAGTTCTCCAGTGTTGAGATTACAGATGTGCTTCACAACATCTGGCTTTTTAAGTGGGTTTGGGGGTCAAACGGGTCCTCATGCTTAGGTATCCAGCACCTTGCCAACTGAGCTGTCTCCTCAGCCCCTGCTAATTATTTGGTAGCTTCTTGTATGGCAGCACACAGGCTGGGGGTGGGGGTGGGGGACACTAAGTGTATGGTGTGGTTCAACCCATGTCTCCTAAATACAGCTGTACCATGACATGATCTGTACTTAGGGTTTTGCTCAGAAGCTAGATGAGTGGCCTCTGATAGAATACATTTTTATTTCAGGACCCTAGAATAAATGGGCAGCTAACTGGAATGGAATGCCTAACATAAGTTCTACATTCCATCAGTTGATGAAATTCTTGTGTGGGGGTTAGCCACAATACACACCTGCTTTTGCGAGGCACGTGTACACTATTTACAATTGTGTTCATATGCTACACATAATATGACCAACATTGGTTCTCTAGTGTATCTTTTGTTATTATATTTCTATTTATTTGGTGTGGAGGTCAGAGGACAACTTATGGAAACCTGTTCTCTCTTCCAAAATGTAAGTCCAAGGGATCAAACACATGCTATCAGGCTTGGCAGCAAGTGCTTTTAGCTGCTAAGCCATCTTGCCAGCTCTGATGTGTTTAATCTTCCCATAGTTTTTAATAGGGGCTCTCCTGGAATTAGAGGGAAGGGTCACACAAGAGCTTACCCCCAGGCTCCAGGAATTGAAGTTCAGTTGTCTATCAGTGCACAAAAGGAAAAACTAGCTCATCTACTTTCAGGAGATAAAGAAAGCTGTGCTTTTTGAGATCATTAAGTTATCTAGATGCATGTTGCTTTGAGATCCAAACCATAGAAAAAGAATTGTCTCTTCCATAGATTTAATAACAGATGAGTGATTGATTGGTTGCTATTTGTGGTCATCTACCTTGAGTCAGTTTGAGATGGTGTCTTAGTGGCTATTTTCTTACTGTGAAGAAACATTATGACCAAGGCAACTCTTTTTTAAAAAGAAGCCAGTTAGTTGGGGGCTTGCTGGCAGTTGAGTCCATGAAAACACCACGTTACAGACTGCCATGGCAGGGAACAGTTGGCATGGCACTGGAACAATAGCTGAGACCTTTACATCCTAATCTGCAGGCAGCAGGCAGAGAGTGGGAGAGACTGGGTGTGGCTGTGGGTTTTTGAAATCTCAAAGCCTACCCCCAGTGGCACACCTCCCTCAACAAGGCCACACCTAATTTTTCCCAAACAGTTCCACTAAGAGGACCAAGCATTCAAGCATATGAGCCTATGGGTGCCATTCTCTCTCAAACCACCACAGTAATAGTCCTTAATCACTGTGTTCACAATTTGTCATTAACACTAAAATTCCGAAATCACAAATGGATAGGTATATGAAAAATTAAATGCACACGGACATATACATACTCATGTGTGTGTATAAGCAAATACATGTCTCAACTAAGGAAACCATTTGCAATATGATAATGTGGATCCAGTGAGATCAAAATACATGGCAAAGAGAAATAGAAAACACTTCATTTTTGCATACCCGGGAGAATCAGGGTAGGTTACAGGAGATCTTGAAATCTGGGCATGGAAATTCTTAGGCACTTGGCTGACTCACTTTTTCTTCCTTCCTTCCCTCCTCCCTCCCTCCCTCCCTCCCTCCCTTGCTCTCTCTCTCTCTCTCTCTCTCTCTCTCCTCTCTTGCTTTCTCCCTTTCTTTTGTTTTCCTTTGAGGGAAAATCTATGTTCCTATGTAGATCCCTGGCTGGCCTGAAACTT